AAAAAAAAAAAAAAAAAAAAAAATACAGACCTGGAAATGATAAGGAGGAAAAAGTGTGTATACTCACTTAGAAACAGGAGGTGTGTCTTGCAGGGCCACATGGGGCAGCCCCAGGGTGGGCCGGGAGGCAGAAGGAGCGGGCACCGTGGGCAGGAGCCTGTACTGTGACTTCTGTGGGAAGGAGGCAGGGGCAGATAGTGTAGGGTTGGCTAGTGAGTCATTTCTGCAGACTCCAGGGCACAGGGGCTGTCCCTAGTTGCCTGGTACATTTTCCCCTTGCTCCCTTTGCTTCCTGACCGACCCTGGTGCCTCTCCATGTGGCCCTGTGTGATGTGGAATGGCCTGTCCTATTGCCCTGTGAATATAACAGACTACCTTTTCATCATTTCCATGTCTGCATTCTTGTCCTACCTAAATAACAATAAAACACCCATTAAAAACAAATAAGAGCTGTTCACGCCATTAGAACCACCACGGACTAAGAGTCACTGAGGCCTTGCTCCTGGGTTGTCCTTGCTGAAGCTCCAGCGATGCTAGTGGGGTGACTTTCTGTCTCGTTGGCGGGGCACGGCCCAGAGCCGAGACGAGGATGGTGAGTAACCGGCATCTGCTCGGACCCAGCATTGTGCTCCGCAGCCTGCTGCTGCCTCTGAGGTTTACTCTCTGCCAAGGGCACCTCACTAAACCTAGGGGAAATCTCATCACCACCCAGAAAACGCTCACTGGGTTCTAAACAGACACACCCTGCTTCTGAATCCATCACTGAATCAATGACTTCATTTAATAATAAATCTCACCTCCAGGCAGACCTTTGTATTTTTCCTTCATGGCACGTGATAGATCACGATGAAAGAAAAGCCACTTTTATGGTCTTTGTTTGACATATGCGGAAACCCAGGCTTGAGGAGGTGGGAGAATCCAGCAGGTCCCGAAGCCAGCGAACGGGAAACCAGGGGGCTGCAGTTCAGTTCCTTGATTCCAACCCCCAGGCACGTTCTCTGCTATCTAGGAGAGATTGTAAACCTCCACTACAAGTTTGATGTCAATTATCATTTTAATCCTTGTTCCTGAGCCTCCCTGTGTGGGGTGCTTGCCAGGCCTGAGACTTCAGTCATCCCAGAGTCTTTGCTCCCTCAGACACTTCTAGCATCAAATGAAAGCTTCCAGCCAGGTATAGTGGCTCACCCCTGTCATCCCCACACTTCGGGAGGCTGAGGCAGGAGGACCACTGAGCCCTGGAGGTAGAGGCTGTGGTGAACTATAGTATGATGGCACTGCTGCATTCCAGCCTAGGCTACAGAGCAAGACCCTGTCTCAAAAATTTTAAAGTTAAAATTAAATAATATATATTTTTTTAAATAAAAGAAACTTCCCCCACTGCAGCATCACTCCTGCCCCTCCCTCATTCCCTCTGGTATTACAGGCGACCTCAGTCAGCCCTTCCAGGATCTCAATAGCTTCAATGCAGGACAGGGCTCCTGCCTTCTGCAGTCAGACCCCGGTGCAGCTGCATCCACCCAGCCCTGCTGAGAACCTCAGGAAAAAGCAGCCCACTAGGCAGGGCTGGGGGAATCTTCCTCCAGGTTTCACCATTTGGGGTCTAACACTTGGCTTTAAACAATGTTGCCAAGAATAGGAACTGCCTTTCTCCTGTGGAAAGCCTTGTCTCTTTCACTCCTGCTGGCCATTCCTGTGTGGTGGATAAGAAACGCTAATACATGAGGGGCTCTTCAGGGAGGAGTGTCAGGACTGCACGTGGCCCTCTTCCTGCCCTGGGAGGCGCAGGCTGAGAAAAGCTCCGCAGGGGATGCGGGAGGAGGTGCCACTCCCCTCCTGAGTCCGCCCAGTTTACCGATTGAAATTCTCGCTGTGCTCTGCACACCTTTGCAAGGAAACCTGTCAAGGCTGTCATTTTGAGTAAATATAAATATAAAATGAGGCCAGGCACAGTGGGTCACCCCTGTAATCTCAGCATTTTGAGGGGCCAAGGCAGGGGAATCACTTGAGCTCAGGAGTTCGAGACCAGCCTGGCAACATGAGATTCCTTACTACAAAAAAGTTTTTAAAAATTAGCCAGGCGTTGTGGTGTGCGCCTGTGGTTTCAGCTACTCGGGAGGCTGAAGAGGGAGGATCACTTGAGCCCAGGAAGTAGAGGCTGCAGGGAGCCCCGATCACACCACTGCACTCCAGCCTCGGAGACAGAATGAGACTCTGTCTCAGATACATGAATAAATAAAAGCACAGATGGCCAGGCGCGGTGGCGCTCACTCCTGTAATCCCAGCACTTTGGGAGGCTGAGGTGGGTGGATTACGAGGTCAGGAGTTCAAGACCAGACTCACCAACATGGTGAAACCCCATCTCTACTAAAAATACAAACATTAACTGGGTGTGGTGGCACATGCCTGTAATCCCAGCTACTCAGGAGACTGAGGCAGAAGAATCACTTGAATCTGGAAGGTGGAGGTTGCAGTGAGCAGAGATTGACCCCACTGCACTCCAGCCTGGGCGACAGAGTGAGACTCCATTCAAACAAAACAAAACAAAAAAAAAACCTCAAACAGACCCCTGGTTTGAGTTTCCTTCTGGCTCGTGTATATGTGTGAAATACATTGTGTTTAAATAGAATTGTTTGCCCCACAGAGACCCCCTCACCCCTTTTGCCAAGTGAGGACATAGCCAGAAGGCATAATCTATGGAAGTGGGTCCTCACCAGACACCAAGTCGGCCAGCACCTTGAAATTAGACTTCACGTCTCCAGAACTGTGAGAACCAAATTTCTGGTTTTTCTGTTTTTCGTTTTTTAGACAGAGTCTCGCTGTGTCGCCCAGGCTGGAGTGCAGTGGCGCAGTCTTGGCTCACTGCAAGCTCTGCCTCCCGGGTTCACACCATTCTCCTGCCTCAGCCTCCCAAGTAGCTGGGACTACAGGTGCCGCCAACACGCCTGGCAAATTTTTATGTTGTTGGTAGAGACAGGGTTTCACTATGTTGGCCAGGTTAGTCTTGAACTCCTGACCTTGTGATCCAGCCGGTTCGGCCTCCCAAAGTGCTGGGATTACAGGCATGAGCCACCACGGCTGGCCATTTCTGTTCTTTACAAGCCATCCAGCCTATGGCATTTTATTATAGCAGCCCAAACAGACTTAAGACATTACTTATGTTCCTTTTACCTGTTTCCCAATTTTGTAAGTGAATAAAAATCAATATAGGTCAATTTTTCACATTTAAAAAGCAGTATCTTCTGTAACATTTTCATGTTGGAACATACTGTTAATCATAGAACTATGTTTTTCTTACCAGCGCATATGTTTTTAAAATTGAAAGTTTGGTGGTTGTGTTTATAGAAAGAAAAATTATCATTAGGGGACAAAGAAAGAGCTCCAGGAAACTCTTTTCTTGTTTAGGAGACGGGGTCTTGCTCTGTCACCCAGGCTGGAGTGCAGTGGCGTGATCACACCTCACTGCAGCCTCAGACTCCTGGGCTCAAGGGATTCTCCTGCCTCAGGCTCCGGAGAAGCTGGGATTACAGGCGCACACCACCATGGCTGGCTAATTTCTGTATTTTTATTATAGTAAAGATAGGATTTCACCATGTTGGCCAAGTTGGTCTCCAACTCCTGGGCTCAAATGATCCACCCACCTCAGCTTCCCAAAGTGCTAGGATTACAGGCATGAGCCGCCAAGCCTGGCCACTGTTTTTAGTTGTATATTTTGTAGCAATGAGATCTCACTGTGTTGCTCGGGCTTGTCTCAAACTCCAGGCCTCAAGCAAGCCTCCTGCCTCGTCCTTCCCAAGTGTTGGAATTGTAGGCATGAGCCACCGCTCCTGGCCAGGAGCTATTCATCTTTAACATGAAGATCTCATGACATGGTTGTATTGAGTGGAGGAATGGAAGGAAAGGTTGCCTCTTCCAGCCTGTTCCACGAGACCTGAGGCTAATCGGCTCCTCAACCAGCCCAGGTGTGTGGGACTCTGATTTTCATCCCAGAGTCTTGGGGCCTTCTCTTCCTTCAGCATCCGTTTCACTGTCCAGAGGACCAGTCAGCTACAAGCTGCCCAGCTGAACGCCCAGATTAAACTGCCTCTGTGTGCAACGGCCCACACCCTCAGCACTGAGGCGAAAAAAGGCCTCAGCGCCCTGTGGCCTTAATGTCTGAATGTCAGGGCCCAAGGCTGACATGCCACACACAGCCTGAGGTTCCTCCAGCCACATCTGTGCCTCCCCAGTGACTCTAGCACCTGCATTTGTGTTGCAGATTCTGGGATTCACCCTGCAAAGGCTGTGACTGTAACTTGACCATGACCAGAAGGCCAAAGGCTGAGCCTCAGAGGAGCTGAAGCTTCAATCAGACGTTTGGCTGAAGGACAGCAACTGCCACGCAGCTCCTCCCTGAACACCTGTCTCTCAAATCAGGTAATTTAGTGATTTGATTTTCGAATGGGATAGATTCAGAATTAGCTTTGGTGATATTTGGTTATTTAGTTTACTAATGGTATAGATTTCGAATTTGCTTTGGTGATATTTTTTGCATTTTATGTTGTAAGTTTTTATATACAATAATTACGAGTTGTTTAAAACTATTTTTACATAAAATGAAGCAAATACGTAGAAAAGAATCCAAAACAAAGATAGCTCTTAAAAAATTATTGTAAGGCAATGCACCCTTGTGATTACCACCAAGGTCTCTCTGCCCCTCATTTATTCTTTTTTTTAAAATGGAGTCTTGCTCTGTCGCCCAGGCCGGAGTGCAGTGGCATGATCTTGGCTCACTGCAACCTCTACCTCCCAGGTTCAAGCGATTCTCCTGCCTCAGCCTCCTGAGCAGCTGGGACTGCAGGCACCTGCCACCACGCCCGGCTAATTTTTTGTATTTTTAGTAGAGCTGAGGTTTCACCATTTTAGCAAAGATGGTCTCAATCTCCTGACCTCATGATCCGCCTGCCTCGGCCTCCCAAAGTGCTGGGATTACAGGTGTGAGCCACTGTGCCCGGCCGGCTGCCCGCCTTTCATTGTGAGTTCAGGTTGGGGGTTGGGGGAGAGCTGTGGGTGAGGCCCTGTGAGAGTCCTGCTGACTCATTGGGATGCAAACCTGACTCAGACAGGCTTGCAGGGGCAACTCAGAGTCTGGGTTATGGGCTCAGTGCTGGACCAGCAAGTCCTGGGTCAGCCAAACCACAACCCCTACAAGCTGGAGCAAGCCACAGGGGTGGGGGCTGGGTTTCCGGAGGCAGGGAGAGGGCAGGGCTGTGAGTAGTGGGGGCAGTCAGCTGACAGCTGACCCCTGGGACAGAACTCTGGGACGGCTGACCCAAGACCTCAGCCCCCTTCACAGTTTACTCGCAAGCTGTCGAGGAGAGCCTCTGTGACCTGTGTGCCTGGAAGATACGACTTCATCCCTGACCGGCGCACAGCACCTAGCTCCGGGAGGCCAGGCGGCTGCTTCCGTGTGGGGAGGCCCTGGCCCCATTTTTCTGGAAGACTGCATGCCCTGGAGGACAGGAACGGGGCCTGAGTCTGCGCGACCCAACTCCCCAAGGAGAGTGACTTGGCTCCCATATCCCTGCCCAGGGAGGAGGGAGACCTGCCCTCCCTGAGAAGCTGGAGACACAGTGGAGTGTGGGAGATGGCTCTGGTGGGCCAGAAACCAGAGCAAGAAGCTTCTTGGGTGGTTTTTATTTTGTCAGGCCTGGGGCAGGGGTGGCCTTGGGTGGACAGGAGAGCCCAGAGATGGAAACACGTCAGGAGCGTGCAGAGCTCAGGAAGGAGGCTGGCCTGAGGTGGGCACACTTGTGGTTAGGAGGCCAGGGGCCCCGGCCCTTCACAGGCTCCCCAGCAGAATCAGCAGCAGGAGGAGGGTGTGAGCAGCCGGAAGGGCTGCGCAGAGCCCGGGTTTATAGACGGTACCCTGAGAGGTCATGCTGTCCAGGGCTGGGGGCATCTCCTGAGGAGGAGCCAAGGCAGGATCCAGAGGGGGACTCTCCCTCTTCTTCTGGCTAATCCAGTTGGTGAAGTAGGAGAGCCTGGTGAAGACGCTGGGGCCGATGGGTGAGCGGCAGTCGAGGCTCCAACTAGACAGCCCCATCAGGAACCAGGTGCCATTTAACGGGCAGACGAGGGGACCCCCGGAGTCTCCTTGAGAACAGAGAAGACATGGGTGGTGGGGACCAAGACAGGGAGGGACACGCATTGTTCAGGGCAAGAGGGGGCCTTACGCTTCTCCAGGATGGAATGTGGGAAGCAAGGTGTGCGGCAAGTGTCCCCACTGTCTGAGTGAGTGGCGCTCATCAGTCACCTGGGCGATGTTAGAAGCCCAGACCCAGGACAGACCTCCTGGATCAAAATCTCGAAGACGGGGCTCTGGAGCCCCACTCCACAAAGCTCCCAAGGAGACCCTGGGCAGAGCCTTCAGGCTGGTAGTCACAGACCCATGAGAATAAGCAGGGGATTCTAGGAGATGGACATCCAGGCCTAGCCCTCCTGACCTTAGTGGGGAGAAGGCGCCGCCTGTGGTCCCCGGGGTGGCTGGGGGCCAGCCTGGAGGGCTGGCTGCGCCTTGGCCTGAATCCTCAGCCCAGCACTGCATCCCACCAGTATTTTGTTGTTTTTTAAACTTTTTTTTTAAAAATTGAAATGGAGATGGAGATCTTGCCATGTTACCAGCTGATCTTGAACTCCTGGTATCAAGTGATCCTCCCGCCTTGGCCTCCAAGGTGCTGGGATTAAATCTAGTCCCGAATCCAGATGTCCTTGACTTATTAAGGTCTCTAGTGTTCCCTCCATTTCTTGGTTGAGCTTTTCAGAAAATGCCAGGCTGTAGGATGTGCTGAGGGGAAAAGAGGTGCTGCCTGTGCCCAGCCTGGGGGTAGGGCAAGTGCCAGGGGCTCCCAGGGGAGCACGGGGGATTGTGAGTGTGGCAGGGCCCCCGAACGGGGAAGTCCCTGACATCCTGGGCAGGGCATCCCCATCCCATAGGCCAAAAAGGGAATCCCAAGGAAACAAGCATCCTCCTGCCATGTGTGCAATCAACAAGACCAAGCCTCTTCGTGTGCAGACAGCACCGAGGGGGCCCCAAGGGACATTCCACATGAACAGACACCACAGACGTGGTGTGTGGACGGGGGCGACCTGGAAAGATTAGAGCACACTGGAAGGGCTGCTCTAATCCTAGAACTTCTCTGAGCCAACACAGGAAGGAGGGGCAAGGCCCGACTGTGCCAGCCCACAGCCTCGTCAGTGGGCAGGGAACCCAGGGGACCTGGTGCAGATTCTGTCTGATAGGATGGTTCTGGCCTGAGCCCCATCAGGACACAACTGCAGGAGAAGGGATGGCAGAGGCTGGCGGGAAATGGTCAACAGACAGGACTTGCCATATCTGACCGTTTCTGTCTATCAAAGGAAATGGGCAAGGCAAGGGAATCAGCCCAGCGGTACACAGTGGGCTGTTGGTGTCAGGAGGCTGAGGAGGCCGCTCCAAGGAAGACAGCAGAGAGCAGGAGGGGCCGCCCACAGTGTCTGATGGGGGATGCTGCACCAATGCCTGACGGCACGGCTGTGGCGAGGATAGAGCCCAGGAAGCAAGAGAGGGCACAGGCAGGCACCCTGGGGTGAGCCCTGCTGGGACGGGTGGGGTGGGAGGCGGTTGTGGGGAGCAGGGAGGGTGCCTGGAGGGCATTTTGTGATGGGAGTCATCAGAGAATGTTTCTGCACCATGGGGTGACCAAAGAGAGAGGAAGAAAGAGGGAGGTGCCAGAGAGGGAGAGGAGGCCGGGCACGGTGGCTCACGCCTGTAATCCCAGCACTTTTGGGAGGCTGAGGCAGGCAGTTCACTTGAGGTCAGGAGTTCGAGACCAGTCCAGCCGAGATGATGAAACCCCATCTCTACTAAAAATATAAAAATTATTTGGGCATGGTCGTGCATCCCAGTTACTCGGGAAGCTGAGGGAGGAGAATCACTTGAATCTGAGGGGCAGAGGTTGCAGTGAGCCGAGATTGTGCCACTGCACTCCAGCCTGGGCCCTGTGTCAAAAAAAAAAAAAAAAGACCGAGAGGATCCTGCACTTCCTCTGTGGGCCTCAGTCCCCCACTATAAAGTGGAAAGATTACACACAGTGGGAGAAGACATTCATAATAATAAACATATCCAACAACGGGCTCACGTCCACAATAGACAAAGAGCTCCTGTGATTCCGAATGAAAAGCAGACAATCCCATAGTTGGCAAAAAACTTGCACGGACACTTTACAAAAGAGGCAATAAACATATGACAAAGGGCTTATCTTCACTAGTCACCGGAGAAATGCACATTAAAAACCACACACAAGAGTTCATACGAAAATGGCAAGACAATTTGAAGGACTGGCAGCAACCTGAACTATCACTCACCAGCTGGTGGGAATGAAAATTGGTACAACCAGGTTGCAGAGTTTCTCAGATGATGGACGAGAGATGAACGTGTGCGTATCTCATGGCAAGGCAATTCCATTGCCAGGGTGACTGATAACCAGAATGGGAACCTGCGTGCTCTGAAACGCGTGCACCAGGAGGTCCACAGAAATTCTATTTGCAACAACCTCAAATGAGAACCACCCAAATGCCACGCGCACTAGAATGGATAAGTAAATTGCAGTGTCTTTGCACAGTGGAATAGCATACGGCAATAAAAATGAACAATACCGACTGCACACCAGATGGATGCAGCCCACAGACACAACATTGACTAAGCGGACCAGGCAAAAGCTTGCATACCATACGGCTTCACTCAGCTAAAAGTCCCCACATGAAGCCATGGTGCTTTAGAAAGCAGGCAGGGTTAGCGTCAGGAATGAGGCACGGATAAAACCCATGGGTGCCAGGTACATGAGTGGTCAGTCTCTGAAAATTCCTCCGCAGGACACTTGTACTTATGCCCTTCCCTGTGCATGGTGTGCTTCAACAAGGTTTTTTTTGTTTTGTTTTGTTTGTTTGTTTGTTTTTTTTGAGACGGAGTCTTACTCCGTCACCCAGGCTGGAGTGCAGTGGAACGATCTCGGCTCACTGCAACCGCCGCCTCCCGGGTTCAAGCGATTCTCCTGCCTCAGCCTCCCGAGTAACTGGGACTATAGGCACACACCACCATGCTTGGCTGATTTTTGTATTTTTAGTAGAGATGGGGTTTCACCATGTTGGTCAGGCTGGTCTTGAACTCCTGACCTCAGGTGATCCACCCGCCTCAGCCTCCCAAAGTGCTGGGATTTTAGGTGTGAGCCACTGTTTACCCGGCCAACAACGCTTCTTAAAAGATACAAAGAAAACGGATGGGCCAGTGCTTTTTGGGGGTTTCTGTCCTGGCTCTGACACCTCAGGCTTGGCTGGGCTCGGGAAGAAGTCAGGGCTGGGGCAGGGTCCAGAGGAGACCCTGTGGCAGAGGCCCGGGACAGCACAGGCGAGAGAGGTTGAGCCCACTCACCCGGCAGATGGCCTTTCCTGTTATGAGGTCCCCAGCGCACAGCATGTCCTCGTGGATGGTGTAGTCACTGCTGCTTGGCTGGCCGGGGTACTGGGGCTGGAAAAAGGATCCGCAGACACTGTTTTCCATGACACCGACCTCTGCCTCCTGAAGCTGGAAGGGCTCAGGCAGGACGACTGTGGGAGGAGGTGTCAGATGTGCAGCCAGAGGGAAGCCCTCCCTTCCCAGCCCGCTCACCCAGGGAGGGCACCACCAAGACGAGGGGACAGGCAAAGGGGAAGGGCCTGCAGTAAGACGAGCCGGGACAGAGGCCAATGTGGCTGCAAGGGAGCAGGCGTGGGGTGAAGGGTGAGGCGCAGCCGCCTCGGGGCCCAGAGCGGGGGCCCTCCTAGCCAGGATGTGGTGTTGGAGGTGTCATTCCAAGCACACTGGGACACAATAGAAGGGTCTTATGCATCCAAAACAAGTCCTCTGGCTACTAAGAGGAGGCAGAGCTGGAGGCAGGGAGGGTGGCAGTTGGAGTGGCAGCCCGGCTGGTGGCATACCTAGCAGGTGCCGGGCGGGCTTGAGCAGTGTGACAAATCAGACACGCCCTTCCTCAAGGAGCAACTGGTCTGGGGACGCTTGGGCTGTGGTTCCAGCTGTCGCTCCCAGATCTGGCCTGGGGTCCCCATGTGGGCAAAGCCTGATGACAGGGGCCCACCCCTGCACAATGCCTGCCCTGTGTGGGCCTCATGGGTCCTTGGGGGCTGCTGGTGTGTGGAGAGAGAAGGATGACTGGAGCCCAGATCTCTCATCAAGGTCAATGGCTCTCTGCTCGGAAGCTGCTCCAACTAACTGATGACTTCCCCAGGCCCTAACTCCTCCTCTCCCACCTGGAGAATCTTCTCTGCCTTGATTCTTAGAGAATGACAGTCCCTGGGAGGCCGAGGCGGGTGGATCACCTGAGGCTGGGAATTCGAAACCAGCCTGACCAACATGGAGATACCCCATCTCTACTAAAAACACAAAATTAGCCAGGTGTGGTGGCTCATGCCTGTAATCCTAGCTACTCAGGAGGATGAGGAGGAGAATCGCTGGAACCGGGGAGGTGGGGGTTGTGGTGAGCCAAGATCATGCCATTGCACTCCAGCCTGGCCAACAAGAGCGAGACTCCATCTCAAAAAAAAAAAAAAAGTTGGAGAACGACAGTCCCAGGAGGCTGTCTTTGGAGGACCAGCTGCTCTCATGACTAGGGCCGTGTGACTGACATTCAGCGGCAAGGGCAGGGAGGCCAGCTCTGGCCTGCTCATGGAATGCCTGTCTTAAACGCCTCCTCTGAGATAGTCTGCCAAATGATGACCCCACAAATAATTCCAAATTGCCATTCCACTGTTTTGCACTCATCACTATATTTTCCTAAATCAAAAGTATTTACTCTTTTGTTTACCTAACATTTCTTCCCTCTCAGTCTACAAATATACAAATATATGACAAATATGCCAGGCGAGCAGCGAGGTTCACATCCACAGAGGTGAGTGTTCTTCAGACATAAACACCTGGGCCGAGGACAGACCTGCTCTCTCTTTTTTGTTTTTGAGACAGAGTCTTGCTCTGTTGCCCAGCTGGAGTGCAGTGGTGCGATCTCGGCTCACTGCAACCTCCACCTCCCTGGTTCAAGCGATTCTCCTGCCTCAGCCTTCCCAGTAGCTGGGATTACAGGCACCCGCCACCACGCCGTTAATTTTTGTGTGTGTGTGTGTGTATATATATATATATAGTTTTTTTTTTTTTTTAAAGTAGAGATAGGGTTTCACCATATTGACCAGGATGGTCTTGATCTCGACCTCGTAATCTGCCCACCTCAGTCTCCCAAAGTGCTGGGATTACAGGCGTGAGCCACGGCACCCGCAGGCCTACTCTTACTTGCTACTGATGCCCAGCACCTTCCACCGCCATGGAAGCTCCAGGGCGCTTGGTGAGGCCCTGGAGATCAGACCGCAGCAGGCCCTTGTCGTCAGGGTGGAATCAGTAACATTCAGAACCAGGGAACCCTGAATGGCTCAGAGTCAAAGAGCCCAAGTGCCTGCCTCCAAAAGCGGGAGATGCTCAGGCCACTTGACTGCACTGCTCACCATCCTCGGTGACCATTCCCCAACCAGATATCCAGCAGGAGCTGTCAGGGGCCAACGACGTGGTGGGTTCCGGAAGGCAGGCGGGGAGGATGTGGGAGCTGAATTCCACAGGACGGTGCAGCTGCAGCAGGGTGATGTCACTCCCCATGCGGTGCCACTTGTTGTAGTCAGCGTGTACCATGATCCTGTTCACTGTCATCTGCCGGCTGTGCTCTGTGGGATGGCTTAGCTGGTTGTACCCAAGTAGGATCCGGTAATCAGACGGGTTAGTGGACCTGTTGTGGGGAGGCTCCTCTGAGTGCTGGGCCGGCACCCTCACCCTGGCTGCCCACCTGGCAGGCACCCAGACCCCACCGTCACTCTGGAGTTACTCTCTCCTCCCTTCCTCATGTCAGACAACCCTGCTTTGGTCTTGACAAGAGCTTGAGGGCCTTCCGGACACTTGGCCTTGGATGATTCCTGTGGCTTTCTCAACATGCCCCAGACTCAAAGGAGTCGAGAATCTTAGTGCAGAAAACACTGGGGGTGCACTACTTCACCCCTTCATTTCAGAAG